AGAGGAGGACTAGTATATATTATAAGGTTGTACTATATCTTTTGAGAATCTATGGAGATGATATTTGACATTTTGTTCTCTTATATTATGAATTGTGACTATGATGATTAATATGTATGAAGAAATTATTGTAATAATATTTTTCTAAATATATAAAATTATTTATGATAGGTTATAATTCATCTGTGCACGGTATCTGTTGTATGTTGGTTTATATTATACTCTACAGGGCAAACGGAATCTTTATGAAAGTGGTTTAGATCAGGAAAGTTGTTCAGGGAAGGTTTAAAAAATTGTTTTCTCCAGATCTCCAGATTTAATTCTCAGATCTCCAGATTTAATGCCCAGGGTGTCTGCTTTGATATATATAATAGAATCCAGAAGACTCTGATCAGAGATCTCTTGTGACATGTCTAATTTGGCCCTTAGATCCTTCATTCTTTAATAATAATGAACATAATTGGATTTGATTGCTGTAAAGCGCTAAGGCTTAATTTTGGATCCTTACATTCAATTTTTACCTCTAAAACATAACTATTGTGAATGTGGGGCATAGTTCTGAAGATGTTTTCCTTGTAAAGCTCATATCTGGTTTCAGCTATACATTTTTCAAATCAGTCTTTCCAAATTCCAGTTTTTTTCTATGTTCGGTAGAGTTTTACAAGACTAGGATTAATTTCTGTGCAGCATGGCCATACAACACAAATGAAGGCATGAAAACATCTGCATCAAAAATCACACTGCATCACTTGCATGTCTAGCAAATCTTTCAAAAGGGGAGTTTCCAAAACAGCTTACAATAAAACATAAAAGTCTGCAGTTCAAAGATGGGGGTGGGACAGGGAGAGTCAAAAGTCCTGCTGAACATATCCAAATCTTTAGATATTTCAAACCAGGTTGCCTGATTATGGCCCAAATCAGGCCTAGACTACAGTTGCAGCATAATGAGGTGTTAGAATGGGATGTACCTAGAGATGCCAGCTATGAGTCATCAGCTAGTGGGAGAAAGAGGGTGGTGGGGTTCGGGGAATTTTCAACAGTATTTCAGAAGTGATGTTAACATGTCGCAGCAGCACAGTAACATCACTAACAGTTATTTGTCAGAAATGACGTCATGCCACTAATGCAATGCTGATTTTCCTGGACATTTGTCTCCTACAACCCAGCTGAATGGGAGTAAGCACAGTGGGTGGAGGCTCGGAGGTTTGCCTAGGTATAGCACTTGAGACTGTAGATGGGGATATCAATCCTTATACTGATAGTGAAGTTGCCCCCATGAGTGCGGATGCGGGGGGGAGGGAGGAGACGGAGCTCTTCCCCCCCCCCGTGAGTATCGCGGGTCCCCCTCTTGTATATCTAATTCTCAATGTGGCCAGATCTCTGGATACTAAAATCAGGAGACTGAAGCCATGAACAGACAAGACAAATCTTTCTACAACCCTGAAAAATCCTCAGGTTTGCAGAAAAATCTGAAATCTTTAAAAAAACAACCACATTTGAGGGTTAAAACCCTCCAAAATGATAGAAGCAGCACCTGTAGCTTTAACAAAGGAATGTCTTCTGTATCTGTCGCTAGGCAACCACAGCAGAATTGCCAGCCTTGAAACCTTAGCATCTGTCAGTAAAAGGCAGGGAGGCACTTTCTAGTGCTGTCTTGGCATTTGAAGGGGGACATATTGATGCCAGGCCTGACAGCAACCTCTAGATAAATTGCTACCCCATGACTTGCATGACTCGCCCAGGCCCAACTGCTTGCTACTGTTCAACAGCAGCCACTTCACATTAGCCTGTGTTGTGTTGTGGGCAGTATTTCAGATTAGGATTTGGGAGACACAGGTTTGAACCTACACTCCCCTAAGGAAGCATATTGGGTGACTTTAGGCCAGTCATACATTCTTAGCCTAAACCACTTCACACGGTTGTTATGAGGATAAAATGGAAGAGAGGAGAATGATTTAAGTTGCTTTGATTCCCCATTGTGGACAAAGTCTGAGTATAAATGAAACAAATTATAAACATAGATGAAGATGGGGTATAGATAAAAGGTGGATTAGTTGGTGGGTGGGAAGGAGAGAAAGAAGCAGGGAAAGGTGAGGATATGGGACTGCCTGGAGGAGAGAAATAGTGTGGGTAAGGAATAGGGGGGTAATGAAGAGCCCCCCCACAAGTCCTTGCAGGTCCATAGCCTGTCATGTTTGCATTGCTGTCCTATGTAAGAAGTTCCAGAAAATAACCAAATAGCACAACTAGGAGAAAAGTTAGGATATAATTGTTCGTTGTTTGCATACTGTGTTAGTTTTCAGTTGTAGGGAATTATTTAATGCAAAGAAACTCAGAAAAATGTGATACCTGCCATTTGAAGAGGCATTGTATTTATTACCACTTCATTATTTATTTATTTATTAAAACATTTATATCTCACCTTTCCTCTTGGTTCACAGTAGCTCAGCTTACTTCATTCTGATGCACTCAGATCAGGACCATGGCAGGCAGGGAGAGGGGACTTAAGATTTCCCCCTGTGCTGTTTTCTGACCTGAAATAGCCCTGTGAACTCATTTGCTCTAGTAGGGACACATATGAATAAGAACAACAGCTCCCTGGGGTAATTTCAGGTCGGGAAAATGGGAGAAGGCTTGAGCCCTCTCTCTCTATACACAGCAGCACCACCCAAAATCAAGCCCCAAATCCTTGAGAATTAAATTTCAAAAGGGAACTCTAGGTGAGTATCATGTTTGACAGGACCTGGGATGGACCTGAAAGGAATGTAACATGCAATTAGGCCTTCCGGTTTAAAAAAGACTTGCTTCTCCTAGATTTTGCCATAAAAATTTGGTAATTAAAACTGATTTCACTGAAAAAAAGTTAAGTATATGCTTAACTCTCCAGAATCAATTAACACACTTAAGTTGCTTATTTGGTACATATTCTGCATTTCTTGCAGGGACCTTGGGGCAAGACAGAAGAATTTACAACTATCCTCACAAAAGTTTTGTGACATATGATACAAATGATGACTTGTTTGCAGTCTATCAGCAAACAACTACACAGTATTGGGGATTTGAACATGGTCTTTCCACAACCTTATCCAACACTGTAGTTCTTGTAACAGAGTAACTAACATGTCAAAATTAAGTGTGAGTGCCTGTGTGTACAATTCATGAAAAAAGCCATATCTTTCAATCTTTTAGTGACCTTTGGGAGACCTGCAAAGTGAGATGACAAAAATGTTCTGCCATTCTGAGTGTAGACTAGAATCACACGTCTCACTCCATTTTTACAGTGTTACAACAGACAAATCTGATTGGTGACATGGAGCCACATAACCACATGGGCTACATGATCCCAGTTAGCACGATCATGTAGCCAGAAAGGAGAACTACCACTGTTTAAAACTTGTTGAACTTGTTTTTAAAAATGGCACAACAGCAGCTGACAAGAGGGGCTGCAAACAAGAGTCATTTTCATTAAAATAGTATAGAAAAGTTAAGGGTTTTGTTGCAGGGGAGGGGTGTCCCTCAGAGAATATTTCAGGTTTTACAGCACTTCTTTTTGCAAGTGGCTTATCTGTAATTTTGCAATATACCACAATTTAGCCTACATACCCTCAAATTAAGTCCTACTGTTGACATCAGCATGTAAGGTGAGGAGAAAAGCAGGGAAAGTCTCCACTTGTGTTTGTTGGCACACAGAAACCTAACAATTCTAAAACAATCTGACATGCATCTCAGGGGAAAACTAGAAAAGATCATTTCTTTTATTTAATGTTTTCTAAATCACAGCAATGGAGATCATTTTTTTAAAAAATTCCACCCATAATATTTCCCTCAAGTATATCATCCCTTGTAGTCCCCAGATAGAACAAGAGTAAATATGCTTTCTCTTCTCTACCAGGACCAATTTATATGAAGCAAATGGCACAGAGAGGAAAGGAATTAAGCCCCTTCTTGCCCAGCACTGGGGTCTCAGTCTTAATTGTGCCCCATACACTGCTTTATGGAAATGATGAAAAATCCAATCACAAATCTCCATCACCTGATGTAGTTTGGTCTTTACAGTTAAAAGCTATGGGAGGGAACTATAATTCTAGCTTAAGCTCCTTTTCCTTTGACGCAGTTTCAATAAATCATGACAGGAGACATAATATTTTCCACATAAAATACATACAGATTTATAACAGTTCTTTGAAAAATAACTCTTACCTTTTTCACTGACACTTTCACTCTCTATTTCCACGTCATCACAACTGGTATATTCAGGTGTTGACGCTCCTTCTTCCTCAGAGCTGCTGACTGACATTTGCCTTTTCTTTCCACCCCGTTTCGATCTATGAGGCTTTGGAGGAGATGGTCGCACTGATTCTGACTGGTCAGAACTAAGGGAATCATTCCTTAGCATGGTCTCCATTTTCTCCCGCTTTGCTTTCCGAATGAGAATAGCAGAGCTAGGATCTAGGTTTTTTTTAAAGGGATCATGGTTTTTTGATTCTAAGTGCTCTGGAGGAACCACACTATGCCTGGGAGTTGGTGGGCTATGATTAGCTAATTGTTTAGAAACAGAAATCCTTACATCACCTGTTCTTTCTATCAAGTATGCTCTCTGAGTATCCAAGTGAGATTTTGTGTCCTGAGTTCCTTGCAACTGAGAGTGATTTCCTAGTTTATTCTCAGATACCTCAGATTCCTCGACTTCTGTATGTGGCAAGGCAACATCACTGTGTCTTCTTTCATGCCGTGCTTTTGAAACTTCTGCATGCATACGCATCTGTTGCTCCTCGGGGTGTGGTTTCACAGGATACCTTGCTAGATTGGGATCACTCCTGTATCGAGTGTGATAGTCATCTTCTTTCCTTTGCTTCTCTTCCTCTATAGCCTTGCCTTCCTCAAATTGTTTTGGAAAGTCTGAATAGTCCTGAGATCTCCCTTTCTCTAATCTTCTACCATCACGTCTTTCTTTAAATTCCCTCTCATCTGCTTGTCCTTCACCCTGCTGAAGTGAGGATTTGGGCACACGTTTGCGCTCACCTTTTAGACCTCCTTTCCCATTTTGTTCAGAACCCACGGGTGCTTTCTTCCTGATGTAAAGGGGAAAAAATAGAAAAAGAAAGTGACAACTTCCAGACACCAATAAAATGGCAAGACACAAACACAGATTGTATCTCTACACATATAAAACAAGCACAAACGGTAGAAAAGGTTGAACCAAGGTTTATGATTTATTTAAACTTTTGCCAGTGTTATCACCGAGTTCTCAATAATGCATTTTTCAAATTATAATCATTTTTCACAGTAATCACTGAATTAGTTGTAGATTTTCTGGGTTGTATGGCCGTGGCCTTGGCATTGTAGTACTGACATTTTGCCAGCAGCTGTGACTGGCATCCTCAGAAGTATAACATGGAGTACTCTCTGTGTCAATGTCAGAAGAAAAATGGTAGGCAGGTAATTTATATCTACTCAGGAAGGTGGGGTAGAGCTGAGTCATTATCTTGTAAGAGTTTCCCAGGCTGAGACATGCAAAAGAACCTCCTCATGAAAGCCTTCAACAATAAATCACTGAATTGTTGAAAAATTCAACTTTACTTTTGAGAATGGGCAATCTATTAAAAGCCAAGTCATTAAAAAGTTTATTTAAGACCAGGCACTACAAGTCTAAATATTTGCACCAGTAAGATTCTCTGCTTTGCTACCCATATAAACGAATGAATCTACCTTCCACTTCCATATATTTTTAACAGGCCTTAAAAAAAAACTGGACACTCTTCCTCACGTTACAATGTATATGCATCCTCATTACACAAACTTTACTTGTTTGTATGAAACTGTAAACTAAGAAACAATTCTTAAGTTATCTTTGAATAGAAATTTAACAGTGTCATTTTAAGCAGAGGGATACTCATGGACTTCAATGGGCTTAGAAGAGTGTAATTGTGCTTCAGAAGGTATGGGTCTGTTAATATTCAAATACTGCAATGCTGAGGACCTGAAGCAAGAAACCTGTCCACTGTTGGTCAGAAAGCAATGTTCCTGAGTCAAGGTTGTGGCACAATTAAATTATACCTGAACACCATGGTTTATAAAAAAGATAATCTAAAGAACTCTTACCCCTTACCTTGAATATCACTAAGAAACTACTGCATCTTCTAATCACCTCATGGTCTTCCCAACTAGTAAAGAACAATATATTCCTGACTGGCCAGCCACCTTCGGGCAGTGGCTAAGTTCCAAGGCAGCAGTGTGAGCACACAGTACAGAACACAGCATACAGCCAAAGCACAGTTTTGCTGTTACTGCTGCAGTTTATGCTACCAAAGGGACAGCTAGTTTTCATTTTCAAAAAAAGTTGCTTTGGCAGAAACAGGAAGCAAAGCATTCCAAGCACATGCGTGGTTCTTTAACAAGCATGCATGTCTGTTCTTTGGATTCCAGGCTGTATTGTTTTTTAAGCAGCAGATTTACCTTTAGTATTCACGTGGATCTGTTTTGTATTCATCAATTCACTATAGACAAATATCATCAAAAAACCCCTCTCAAACAAGGACTATTCATGTCTTAGAAACTTAACCATGCACAAAAGGTAAGCAAAATTTAAAAATCTTACCTATATGTTTGCACATTAAAGCCTGTCTGTTGGTTCTATGAAGGATCAAAGTCCATTTTCTGAGAGCTTTCTTTAATCCATCACCCTCCATATGACTCTCAGTTCTTGGTGGTACTGGCAGCTGCTACAATCAACCTGAGCATCCCCCTTACTGCTGCTTTTGCCATAATATAAGGAGAGCAAGAACAGAGAAGGCCACCTGCCACCACCCAGGGCTTAGCCGCTGACAGTGTGCCTTTGCACATTCTACGAAAGCATGACCAAAACTCACTTAGCTTTCATATTTATGACAAGAGTCCCCAATGTTTAATATCTCTGCTGCAATCCTCCCCATAGTAATGTGGGCAAGGCATTACCTCTCTTTCGGGGGTTCACTTCTAGATCTTGATGAAGTTTGCTTCTGCTCCAGGCCCATAGCTTGCTGTGAAAGCTCTATGCCTTTCCTTCTGTCAGGCTGCACAATAGAGGATATTTCCTGCGAAGAGGCAGCTGCTGTGCTAAGGGGTGTCTGAGACCTTGACCTTTCTTGAAGTCTTGCTTTCTTTTCTCTAGGTGCATCTGAACTGCCACCAGTAGCTGTATCACTCAGTGTTCCATCCTGACTTGGAGGCTGTTGTGGACCACTTCCAAAAAACCACGCTCCAGATTTTGTTAAGATCTCTTGTTGCTTTCGGCATAAATTGCATACCCACATAACCTAGATTTTAAAAAAGAAAACAGCAGTCTGAGTACTGATTTCTAAATGGCTTGGATTCCTAAACATTCAAGAAGAGTTGATTTCCCTTTTGTATTGGTGCTCATGCTCAAAACATGCTTGTGGAGTGTGCTAGCCTTACTAGCTATAACTGAAGGCACTAGAAGAAAACATTTCATTAAGATTGCACTGGACATTCATGTTCTATCGCTAACATTACTTTCAGTAGCTTTGATGTTGTAAATGTGCAAGGACCCATGTCAGTGAACATTTGCACAATGGTGGAATGAGTGTATTTTTGTTTTGCTTTTTAAATACCAAACCAAGTTTCACATATGATCTGATATGATATGAAGCTGAACTTTGGGTTACAATATTCAGATGCAGAATTTTATCCCATTCATTAAGGGTTATTAAAGACTGAACAAATGTAGATGAATTTTTGGTACTCTTCCAATTGAACATCAAACCATACACATACAATCAATTGTCCATTTATGTTGACTACATTTCCATCTCTCCCCAATGTGATATGCACAAACCCTATGAGTTCTACTGATGTAGATCAATATATAATTATGAAATTAATAGACTGAAATTACATTTTGTGAAAAGAATACAACAAAAAAGAAATATCAAATGTATATCACAAAGGATGATAGTATGTTGTCAAGTTCCAAACCAGCACTTGACTTCAAGGTCATTATCAGTAGATTTTAAAAATAAAAATTCTCTCAAGTAGACTGGATAACAGCAATATACATGAAGGGCAGATGCTGGACCTGAGGATTAAGCAGGGATGAAGGCAGCTGCACCATAAGAGAGAATACAGCAAAGAAGCACAGAAATCCCATGTAGACTTACTCATCAGTAAGTCTAATTAGAAATAAATGGGGGCATACTTGCCATAAAATGTTATTTGTGTCAACACACTAGTAACATAAACAAGAATAAAAATAAACAGAGTCTTAAAGCCATTTCAAACAGAAAGCCATTCTTCATTTATATACACACACACATACACTATATATATACATACACTATACATATATAGTATGTATGTATGTGTATACACACACACACACACACACACACACACATATATATATATCCTGTTTTGGAATGGCAAGATTCGATGCGCGCCAAAATCAGTTGGCTGCCTGAACTGCCACTCAGAAGGTCACTGGCTCCATTGCCTGAGTCCCACCCACGGCCCTGCCACTGCAACCGGCCCCCTCAGAAGATGGAGACTCAAGCCCTGCTGCTTCGGTCTGCTGCTCCACCCAGCCCGACCTCAGCTTGCGCTGAAGCCGGTGCCTATAGCAGTGCACACCGCTGCCTGCCCCTGTCCACAGCCCACTGTTCATTTGTGAGGAGCCATGCTTGACCCGCCAACACTCCAGGTAGCCGCCACCGAGCAGCCTACCGGGAAGTTGGGTGGGAGCCAGGGAGCCGCTGCACCGCACTGAGGGATAAGGAGGAGGAGGAGGCAGACAGGGGGTTACCGGAATGGTGCTGCCACCACCACAGTTTTCACTCACCGAGCCGCCGCCCAGGGAGGCAGCGGCTCTGGTCCTGCCTGATATGTGGCAGCAGTGGGCCAGTGGGGAGTGGCAGCAGAGGAGGTGTGATCCACCCAGTCCTCTCTGGTGGTGCCACACCATGCCACTCCCTCACTCCCCTTCCACCTGGCCAGACCGACTCTGTACCGGCTTCGAGCCCCACATGTGGTGGTAGAGGGAGTGGGGGAGCAGCACTGTGGTGAGGCACAGGCCGCAGTTCAGCCTGGCAGCCTGGGCGGGTGGCCTCCAGCAGACGGGGGGCAGCAGGCTCCCCATCCCGCCCAGAGCAAGGCCTGGTCTCCTGGCCACAACACTGGTCAGTGCAGCATGGCTCCCATCCTGTGGTAGCCTGGCCATGGCGCTCAGGCAGAGCTGCCGAGGGGGGCAGCTGACTGCTGCAGGCCAGAGCACCCTCCCAGACCCTCTTTCTAGAGCTCATTTCAGTTATTTCCGCAACAGGTCTTATTACTAGTATATATAATAATTCTGTTTTGGTCGTGGACTCTCCTGAACATTCCACATGCTTCCAAATTAGTTGGTTCCCTGATTTGTCACTCAGAAGCTGTCCCTATCCACTGGCTGCATTGCCTGAGTCTTGCCGCCAATATTCTAAACAGTTTGCTGTTCCTCTCCCCTCAATAGCCAGTCGGAATACAGAGGTCATTTGCATATGTGGCCTGATTGGCCTTTGCCTCTAACATTCTAAACAGTTTGTTGTTGCTGTTGGGAGTCATTGAATGTGTCCTGAAGTAAAATACATATCCCAGTCTTCCCTTAAATGGTCACTGGAGTTGCCAATCTCCCTGGGGTGCCTGGAGATCTCCCAGAAATCATCATGTTCCCCAGTCACAGCACATCATTGTCCCGGCCCTGACAAGG